GTGTGTCTCCTGTGTCACTTGTCGCGTCATTGTCTTTTGCCACGCTTGTTCTAGTCTTTCGTCCTGGATCTCTGTAGTTTTTTGCCTATGTGCTTTTGCCCCCGGTTCCTGTGTTTTTGACCTTTTGACTATTAAAGTGTTTTGTTTGGAGAAGTCTGCATTTGAGTCCTGCCTTCCACCCCCAACCCTGACACAAACCCATTCACATTTATAAAAATTTAAAATAAATCAATCAACATAGGTTTTTGACTTGATTTGTAGTTGTATTTTTTAGCTTTGGATAGTGAAGATTAATAGACTGCTACTATATGTTAAATGTTGGGTGAATTTTTTTTCTTTTATTAAGTGTTATAACTCTAAATACGACTGTCAAAGCAAAATAGTTTCTTGTAGGAAACATGGATATCACAGGACAGATTTGGGAGTCTTTTGGAGCAATTCTTTTTACACCAATTAGCTAGTTACGAGACAGATGTCATTAGTGAAGTTAAACCTCTGTGGCCCACTCATCAAGCAGGAAAAGTTGGCAAGAACCAGACCACCAGGAGCCCAAAGGCCCCATATTCATGGTCTGCCAGTTGGTTTGAGGTAATCTGCACTGCTGTTCTTATAACATTCTAGGGCGAGCATGTATTCCTGTAGGCTGTGCGTCTGTGCTCAGGGGCCCAGGAGCCTTGATGCCTTTCATCAAAATTTTACCCATTCCGCATTAACATAATAACCTGAGACAGCCTAATTACCACAAACGGGAGTTAAAAGGTTTGCTGAGCAGGTTAATATGGCCATGCAAGCATGCTGGACACAGCTAGCTAATGGACAACGAAGTAGGTGAACCAGGCAGTGACCTCCAGGTCGGGAAAGTGAAGGCGATGCGGATGTGCTTTAAACTCATTCTTTCCAATAGCTTTCTGATAAAGTCTAAAGATTACTTCTCACTTGATTCATTACGTCAGTAAACCTTTGAACGTGGCTTTTTGTTTTGAATCACTAGTTCCATGTACATCAATTATACATGATGTAAATCTCGGTGTCAGTTTCAGTCAAATAGGCCCTAAGGGGTGGTAAGTTTGAAGGCGTGGCTACCTTGTGATTGGCAGGTTGCTACGTTTGCACTTTCCAGTCCCTGTGTTTTTGTCTCAGAACTTTGCCGAGCGTGTTTTCTGTTCATGAACGTTAGATTCAACCACGTTGGTTGTTGTGAGTTTTTCTCTTTGAGACCATCGAGAACAGACGGGCTTTAAATACATCATTTTATTCCTCACACTTATCCTCCCACTGAGAACTCGTGTCTCTCAAGTCACCCTTGCTACTTTGCATAGCGCTCAGACGTGTTTGCCGGTTCGCCGCCAGTTCCGCGACAAGGTCACGCACAGTGACACCCCCGCCCCTCACGTATCCCACAGGCTGCTACAGTGTCTACACACAAAATCTCTGGCGGAGCTCTTGCGGCTTCTGGGTTTGAGTTGGGCTCCCTCTGAGGATTGTGTCTCTGACGCTCTGAGAGATTAATTCAGCAATGAATCTGCGTTGAAAGAGAAAATATAGTGCAGCTCTTTTTTTTTAAAACGTATTTTGGAGGCTTAAAAACCAAACACAATAGAAGAAAACTAGATAACAACTAATCTGGCTCACTTTGTTGTCTGCAATGTATTTTGGATCCTCTCTCATTTCTTCTGCTAATTGCAACATGGTAATTAGGTGTAGAGTCTAATTTACTACGGGGCATCGTTTAACAATATATGCATTATTCAAGGGGAGAATTCAAGGCGGAGGAGGAAAAGTGGGGGAATAACAATAGTACTGATGATACTTGTGGTTTTGATGATGACAGTGAGAAAAGAAATGGGACTCACAATGTAGGGGAGGCGGAGAGCATTGATGATGATGATGATGGTGGTGGAGACTGTGGGTGCTGTGATGGTGAGCCAGGGACATAAAAGAGGGTCATTGACCTGTGATTTTAGTCCTATTTCCCCTACATGCCAGGTCCTAATCGACTCCATTAACAGAGGGGGGGTAGAAAGCCCTGATGCTGGAGCTTTCAGAGTAAAGTCTGCATATGTGATGACTTGCAGTCCGGCTGGCTGAATGAAGCACGCTCAGTCCGATAACCTCCTCTTTCCTTATTATTTCCCCTCATTTAACTCACCGTGTGCCTCCATCACAGTCCATTTTCCCTTTGCGCCGGTGGGTGTGCGTGTGTGTCTCTCAATCGTGCAGCGCGCCTGTTATTTCACAGCAATTTTGGATAATGATTTATTTTACCATCCACAATTGGAAGGCCTTTCGCTTGAAAGGGAATGATAAAAACGGTAATCCCTTTGCAATTATGTGGTGAGAGTTAGTCCCGTTCATTGAGATTCACTGATACGACTGGTGTGGACGCAGGACATTCTTCTCCAGTGTGGCCGGCTCAGTACATCACAGGAAAATACACATGCCTTCCAAATACACAGTGCCCGCTTCATAATACTGGGAATTACATCGCTGTTCGTGTTAAGAATAATGAATGCATTGAGAACGCAACGCAAACGAGACTGGGATCTCTCACGGCCTCCATCACTTCAGTTGATATTAGGTGGTGCATTTTCTGACAAATTAGCATTTAATCAAATTACTAGATCCGTTTGAAGCCCTTTTGAGCCTGAGTTGCCTGTCAGTTAATTCAACCTTGCTGCTTGCGATGGAAGATCTTATACTTAAGTAATTTAAGATTACAATTGAAGACTTAAGAATAAAGGTCTCGTAAATTTTGAGAAATAAGTATTTGCAATAAAGTATTAAAAGTAGTCCTTCTGCAACAAAACAAACCACTCTTACAGCTTTTTGATTATGTATGACATAAATAGTGATGCCTCATTGTTCCAGCAGCATTTTGCTGTTACAAGCTGCAGCTGGCTTGGCCAGCTTCAGCTACTTTATATGGTAAATGGATCTACTTCACTGGATGAAGTGCTTTTCCAATTTCCCCTCACTACACATACACTGATTGCAGGGGGGGCCGCCATTCAAGGTGTAAGGTCGGATGAGGGTCTTGACACGCTGGACATACAAACATGCAGATCCGGGAACCAAACTCGAAACACTGTGGTTGAAGAACAACACACGCCGTACGTTAGGTAGTCGAGTCCAGTGGATCCCGACCAAGCGGTCAAGTCAAAGTGAGTGAGAGGCTGGAATACGTGCGTGCGTCATTTCTCATGAATCGCTCGTGCTTACTGTATGTACTCATTTAGAATCTAAAAACAAAAATGTAATGGTACTGCCGCAATCCACCAAACTACTGTACAGACCAGGGAATCATTTATGTTAGTATGTTAGTACAGTGAAGAAAGAAAAACAAAAGATGGCTATGAAATGAGGTTCCATGTTGTGAAAACCTTGATTCTAACTTTTAGAAAAGGCGCAACAGTACAGTAAAATGTACTTAGCGTATTGGAAGTAAAAGTACCATAAATCTCGTACCAATTGACCAACAAATATAACACCAGATTAATGCTGCAGCAGTTCACGGTTGGGCAGTTCAGTAGATTACCTCTCTGTGGCTCATGAGATGATTAATTGTTGAGGACTCTGCTACACCAATCAGGGCTCATCTCAGGAACTTGTTCTGCATTGCATTTACAGAAAAAATGAATCATTGTACATATTTGGTTCGCAAACATTTATTCAAATCAAACCAAAAAAGAGAAATCCCTTCTTGATAAAAAGTATTTACGGCTACTCAAGTAAATGTATTTACTTTCCACCACTGGTCATTCATTTTATTATTCCAAACTGGGCACACAACTCTATCCCCTTATGCACTCCCACAAGACATTAAGAACAGATGTATGACATCTAAAAGTGATTCATCGTTTCCCATAATCCATTGGGCTTCGGGCTGTGTTACAATGTCAGTGTGGGAAAGCTTTTGGGGGATTTGCAGTGCAGACACATCAAAGCAAAACGCGCAATCTCCACGCCCCATTTACGAGAAACTTTATCCACGACGGTCCACTTCACAAGAGGATGCTCCACTTACATCGCAAGGATGAGAGTCAGCTGCACAGAGATTAAATGCAACATGTGGCCGTCTCCTTTAACGAAGTGAAAAACAAGAATCTGAGCCTCCACCGTTTAAGAGTCAAGCGCGTAGTTTGAAGTTCATAACCTCTCCTTGCAGGTTGTGTTGCTCTTCAGCTTTGCATTAAGCCTCTCAGGTAGGTCTTAAGTTGAGAAATCAAGTGGGGCGGGGGATTTGAGGGATCAAGGACTTGCAACATTTGAGGCAAAGGCAATACTCATTGCCACTCCAAAAAGCTGGGGAGGTTCTTCAAAGCGTGCTTAATTACCTACGGAGCTTCATTTATAAACCACAAGGCTTTTACTGGAAATCAGAGGAGCTAATAAGTTGCCGGCCCATTCTAGGTCATCAACACAAGCAGCAAAAAAACAAGGAGGCCAAGTTTATTTTTTAAATCCCATTTTCTTGTTAGTTTGTGACTTAAACTCGGCTCTTTGGTTTATCCACTGCTGTTTTGTATCATTATCTGTGTCAAGTGGAGTAATTATCTAACAAATGTATAAAAGCTGCTCTCTAATTAAATGCCATGGGCTGTGAGAGATGGAGATAAATTATTTATGCTGCTTTGATGAGAGCTAGCTAGCTCGAAGGAGTAAGCAGTCAGTCGCTTTTAGAACCGGAATAACCAAAAACTTTTCTAGGAGGGTGTTTGGGGAGAAAAAGAAGAGTGAACGTTTGCCTCCAGGTTTGAGGTGCGTCGGTTTCTGCAAAGATGTAATTAACTCATGAGGAGAGGATATTTTCATACTGGTATTTACAAGGCAGGAAGAGGGGAGCCACTTAAGAGTGATGGTTTAACAAGGTATTTAAGCAGAAAAACATTGTTTTCAAAGTGACGAATTTAAAAATGTTTTTCCCCTAGTAAAACAAATAATAAAGCTGTAGTAATGTGGCACTCACTGAGGAGAATTAACTAAATGAGAAGGGAGCAAGACAAAGTCAGATAAGAATTTCTTATTATTCCAATAAAAAATACATTCATACAGAAATATAACAATTCTGCAAAACAATTTCAAATAAAAATTTCATAAAGCATAAACATAACAATTTTACAAAAGTTTTTTTAGTTTTTTTTTTTTCTACAAAGATTCAGTTGAGAACAAAGAGCTGTAAGAGAGAGAGAGACGGAATATGTTAGGGTAGTGTGGGATGAAAGCGTTGATGAAAGATGCGAGCAAACACGGGCTTAATCAAGGCTCAATTACCACCAGAACAGTATTGGCTGCCGCCCCCCCCGTCAAATGGATGTTCCTCCCCCCTGCCACAAAAGGCGCTGCCAACCCTCACAAATGAATTGCGGACAGCAACTACAAGTTTGGGCTCACCCGCCTGATGTGAAATATTTAAGAATGCGGCGTTGCAGCAAGGCACGCTGGTCCGGAGCAAGTGAATGCATGTGACCCCATGCATCCATCTTTGAGGGGAATATTGTCATGGGCTTCTTTTGGGGGTCAAATCTCAATTTGATCTGCTCCCGAGAGCATTCACCCCCCGCCATGGTTTCCATAATACTGTTGCACTACGGCTAAAGCAACGCTCCCCAGACGGGGTCAATAACCAACCTGCACAGTCAGCAGTCTGTGACAGATTCCATGCCAACAAAGCCTTTAGCAATTCATTACCCAGAGGCAGTACAAGGCGAGGCCGGTCCGACTGCAGCCTGTTCATTACAATAAATCTTTAGAGTTTTTCCTCAGTCCCACTTGCAGGGACAAGGGGGGGGCGGACGCAGCACCGGGGAGCAGTCCTGTATCAACTACACAAATAAAAGATAAAACTATTTTTGTTGGCAGAGTGTGGTTTGTTTGTACTTCAGAGTGTGATGAACTCAAGTACATACTACACAGTAGTATTGACAATGAAAACCCCTTTAATAAGTGAATATAAGTGCCCTAAACTTTTTTGTTCCGACGGACTAAACTAGTGCTGAAAATACCCCACCCCCTCCCCCTCCCCTCCACAACAGACAGAATTAAAACACAAAGAGCTACGAGTTAACGTGTAACGGAGCCTTGATCTAGCTTTTTAAATCACCCACACAACAGATGCGACTTCCCCTGGGAGGGAAAACAAAAAAACAAAAACAACCCACCGCTGCCACAGGGCTGAGTCACTTGCATAAGGCACCATTAAGGCCAACAGTGCATTATTAGATAGAAAAGAAAATACAAAAAAAAGTCACACCTCAAGGCAATGGATGAGTGATGAGTGAGGAAGCAGTGAGGGAAATCTCCAGCCAGATGAAAATAAACAGAATGAAGTTGTGAAGAAAAGAGGAAATCAAGGCATTATGTACAATATTGTAACATTTAACCGTCTGCACTTTAGCTGCACTTTTATTGACTATTTGCAGTCCTGATTACAGTGGAAACATGAAATGAACAAACCCTAGAACCATGCAACACCTGTCTATGATACTGAAGTTATAGTATAGTTGTGTTATACCTGTTATAAGCACAAGGCTTTTACAATTGGACTACAAATGAGCTTTGTAGCTTGTAAAAAATAAAAAAATAAAATAAACCAGGCTACATAACACATTGCACATTTAGTAGCTGCACCAAAAAACACCAAAAAAAAGCTTCTGTCATACAGTGACCGGGGGAGGGGGGAGGTTGCGGCCCCAGGGTCACTGACCAGAAGGGTGACAGGTCCACCTTCTCTCAGGTCAAACCCAACCCAAAACCCTCCCCCCCCGTAGTCTGGGTGCCAGACAGACAGGCAGGCAGGATTCTCCTTCCTGCCCCGTCCTCCCGCTGCCACCGGGGAAACACGAATGGAATGTTTCCCCTCCAGAAACACATTCAGTCCACAGCAACATCGGTACCAGCCCCGCACCTTCCATCCTCCGTCGACCCCACCTCGCCTCCTGTCCTCCCGGGGGAGGGGGCCGGTCAGCCAGTCTCAGACATTCACAGTGCACACATGCTTACCTCAGACAATTTTTGTAAAGTACCAGTGTATCTTCTGTCCAGGAATGAGCCTCCAAAACATCATGCACCACACATACAAATCATTCGCTCTCTTTGTCATCTTTTTTTTTGTCTTTGTCTTTTTTTATGTGTGTGAGTAAGTCCTTCTCAAGCAAAAAGATTTCTTTATACCGCCCCCACCCCCTTGTCCTCGTCCGTGAATTTGTCCATTCTTGTCGCAGTAGACAACCTTCAGAGCACCTTTTCTCCAAAATGAGGTCCCGGAGGCACTGGGTTTCAGTATGGTGCAAAACGGCATGCTTTGGCTGGAAACGCTCCCCGCCACTCTGCTCAGGGACAGTTCCACCAAGAGACTGGTCGGGAGACGGCGGGTTCCCCCCCCACCTCTCTCTTTCTCTCCTTTTTACAACAACTTTGCCCCCCCGTCGCTGTTGGTTGGAGCTCGCCCCCACTCTAGACGTGCCTCTTCATGTGAAGGGCCAGATGGTCAGACCTGGAGAAACATCTGGAGACAGGAGGGAGGAGTCAGTAACGAGGCAAAAATGGACCGTTTCAGGGAATCAAAAGTGAGACGTTTTTTCTGTCTGTCTGTGACAATCAGGAGATAAGAAGTCGAGGCCAAAGATTACGTTACGGCAACAACTGAACCATCACACTCCACAGACAAAAACAAGTGACTGTAGCAATCTGTGAATTCCATCATTAAAACGCGTGCATCACTATCCGGATGATGAGGAACGAAGAAAAAGGAATTTTTAAAAAGTCTCAAGAGGCTTACCTGTCACAGTGAGTGCATTTGAATGGCTTTGCCCCAGTGTGCTTCCTGAAGTGTCTGGTCAACTCGTCGCTTCGTGCAAAGCGCCATACGCAGCCCTCCCACGAACACCGGTACGGTTTCTCACCTGCAGAAGCAACAAGGGGGCGGTGATTAGTCCTAAACACAAGCGCGTCAAAATAAAAATAAAAGGGGTTTGTGTGCGGAGGCCGAGATCGGATTTGTTATTCAAATGTATTCAAATCAACAACCCTAGTGGTGTGTGTGTGTGTGTCTCTCGGTGGAGGGGTAGTGGGGGGCAGGCCAGACTGACAAAACGCTAAAGATCCGAACCAGTTGGGTCACCAGCCGTGAAAATATGCAACCTGCTACGTCGCGAGTGAGATTTTGTGACGCACAACCAAAAAACAACAACAAAAGGAATGAAAAAAATGTAAGAAGCTACACGTGCAATTTTACGCCGCTAATCAAAAATAAGAGACGCTGGTGTGACCATTCGACGCCCTTCCAACTCCATTGCCCCTGGCTCCCCGCCCACTCACCCCTTTCCCATGGTGAAACTCAATCTGCTTTCAAGTCCTTTTATCTCCCATGTGCAAACCCTCCTCTCGCTCTCTCGCCCCCCCCCTCCCTCTCTCACATTCCAGATAGATTAGGTCACAGTTTAGGTATCCAGCCATGCAGAGCTAATACCCACAGCGCTCCAGCTGAGGACGTCATGCAATGTGGACCTTTAATTACATTACACAACGGACGGACGACTGAACTAAGAGCACTTCCGCTCGTTAAGTGCGGTTCCGTTGAACTCTGTGAATGAATCGTTTTGATCCGAGATCAGCAGAGGAGAAACTGTTTACACGAGTCACAGCGGGCGCTCGGAAATCTCACCTGTATGTGTGCGCTGGTGTGCCTTTAGGTGGGAGCTCTTCGTGTAGACCTTGCGACACCCGTTGAACTGACACCTGTGTACTCGCCTCCTGCCGTCCGGGGACGCGTCCCCGCACATGAGTACAGTCTTTTCCACACCCTTCGCCGACCCGCCGCTCCGGCTTTTAACCGGCAAGTGCAACTGGGCGGCGACCCAGCCGCCGGTCACGCCACCGGCCTCTGAGGTGGCCTCCGGAGAGGACGGGGGAGTGCTTATGACGGAGGGGCTAAAAGGTCCAGAGCCGACCAGGACCGAGCCCAGGGGGTTGGAGGTAAAGCTGTGCGTGGGCGAGAGCTCCTCGGAACTGTCCGACGCCTCGCTGCTGGCGTCCGAATTCACACTGTTGGTGTCCAAGATCGGGCTGTCCTGATTGTCCTCGTCATGGGCCGAGACGGGCAGCTTGGGGTCGGACTCGGCCTTGGCTTTGTCCCCGTAGGCCAACATCAGCTTGCTCCAGAGGTCCTCCTGGCTGTCAAACTTGAGGTCGGACGGGGAGACGTAGGGCTCGTTCTGCAGATAGCGCTCCAGCTCCAAGCATGTCTGGTGGTGTGAGAGTGCAGACAAGTCAGAATAAACAAACCACGAGCAGAGAGAGAAGTTCCTCGAGAACCGACAAGACGGGGGGATTCCTTTCAAATAGTCACGTGCACTAACCAACCCTTAAAAAAAGCTGTACGCAATGTTTTTGACAGGAAGCCTGAACCAGGAAACGGTAACCAGCTGCACATGTCAGGGTCATGACTGCAATGACAACCAAGATGTGACACGCCTGGACCAAAAGGAACATAATCAACTCGAAAAATGTAAATAAGAGAAATATTTGATGCTTCCAGCTGCTGAAATGCAAAAACCTGCAAATGGAAACAACATTTGGTTTTGGCTGACAAAACATTCCGAACATAAATAATATTAAGAAGAAGAAGAAGAAGAAGAAGAACTGAGCCTCTTCTAAAAAACACACAAAACCACTGAGTTCCTGTTTCTTTAACACATACAAGCGTGCATTGTCATTTCAGCACTCCAATGACTCACTGAACAAATCTAGACTCCTTTTAAGGAAGCTGCTCAACCCCCCCCCCCCACGAGCCATTCAGATGTTTTTTTACTCATGTGAAACCTCTGTCATGCAATCATATCCTTCCTCAGTGGAGGCCCAAACAAAGTGGCTTCAGAGTTTTTTTAAACGGGGGGGGGCAGTAGGTTTGACCAGGCAGATGTTGGGGACAGACTCCCTCCAGGCTTCTGGAGCCTTATAGTACATCTTCCAGCTGTGCTAGTGCCTACTCACCCGGGCAGGAATGTGGCCACGGCTGACTTTGGATCGTCATGTGGAGCCCACAGACGCAAATATAGGATTTCTAAAATAAAAATATACGTAAAACATGGGGTGAGGATGCGCTTTATGGCACTGAAACACTGGATTTCCTTTTCATTTTAAAGTTGACCGTGCAGCTTTTCAAAACAGTGATAGAACTAAAAAAAGAAAAGAGGAAATGCGCCGCGCTGAGCTGCGGCGCTGCTCCTGCGCCGACGCGCGGCCGCACATTTGGATCCAACTGCTGACTGATTTGAAATTCTACTTCCTCCTCCTACAGCGGCTGCAGTGTTTGCGGTGACACCAGCTCACATGGCCTGAGGCGAGCCGCCGAGTGGAGGAGGAAACGCAGCAAGAGCGGTAGAATAAAACAAAAGCAAAAAGGAGGAAAGGAACGCACGGGCACGCTGCTGTTACCGCGCGCGCTTTCATCTCGACTGGAGCTGTCAGACTGACACGCTGATCCACACGTCAGGATGCCAACAAAAAAAAAAAAAAAAACGTCACCACCACGCATGGCCCGTCGGGTGAGCGGGACGGGAGCCGTCTAAGCACCGGGGCGCCGTCTAAGCCCGGGGACGCCTGTGTGTTCAGAGCCGTTACGCGCCGGGTACGTGGAGCTGAACTTGTCGAGCGCACAAGACGCCGCGGTGGGATCTCTCAGTTCCGCTTTACCACTCAAGCTCCGACAGCGGATATAAGCTATGAGAACAGCTGATATGACGTTAAAAATTCATATATATGTACATATATATAGATATTCACCTGCTGCCAGTACTCCTCCAGTGATGGTAAGGCTGAGAAATAGCCCGTGTCGTGAACTATTTGAAGTTCCTGAAAGATGCTGCACATGGGTAGAACATCCATTTTTTCCCAGAGCTTAGTTTAAAAAAAAAATTAAAAATGCTGTGTAGCTTCAGTTAAATGTGTTTTCTCAAGTAGAAGAGGAACCAAAATAACACCCAGTAGAAGGAATGACAGCCGTCCCCTGCGATGCACGCGAAGAGGCGCTTGTTTTCAGCAGCAGTGTAGCAGCCGAGCGTCCGTCCGTCAGTCCGTCTCCCCCCCTTCGTCTCTCGCTGGCGTTCAAGGTGTTTGCAAACACTGCGCCGGACTGGATGGGAAGCAACCACGCTCTGCAAACTTCCCTATTCAAACCTAAAGCCCGCCCCCTCCCGCTCCCACCCCCCCCCGCCCCTACTCCACGGAGGGACCACGCCCCCGAGGGTGCCAGCCAATCCGCAGCGTGCGACTTAGACCCTCGCAAATGATATCACAGTCGGCCAATAGCGAGCGGCCCCTGACTTAATTTGCTCTGTTCTCGCTTTTAATTGGCGCGTTCGGGCTTTCAGCGTCTCTCCGCTGATTGGCTGGTTATTTTTAGGCGTGTATATAAAGGAGCTCATGCTCGATCTCTCTCTCTCTCTCTCTCTCTTCACTGGTGTAGTCTGCGCTGTGTTTCGCCACGGGCAGCGCATGTGAGCCGGACCGGTCTTATTCCCGGTTAGTGGAAAACACCACGGCCCCTCTTCCCCCCCAGCTCCCCTCGTCCCCCACTCCCCTTCTCCCTACTACGCGGCTCCGGGAAACTTTGTCACAGGCATCACTTGCGACACCGCTCTTTAGGGCGATGACCTCACCAAGGCGCTGTCCGTGACATCACCCAATAAGAGCGCGCTCATGTCTTGGGACACAGTGATGACTAATGTTCGGCCGCGCACTTATTGTGTTATCAGCTCACTCGCGCGTTTACAGGAAACGTCCGTCGTCACTTCTCCTCTGCGACCGCATTAATGCATGCAAGAGAGCTTTGCTTTTAAAAACACAGAAGTTGCTCTCTGTTGTTAGTTTTAAAGGCTTTTATCATCTAATTTGCACTTGAAAGAGTGAGCGGGGGAATGAATGTGCAGTAGAAGTAGTTTCCAAAAGTTAAAGAATTTGTTTTACCCCAGTTTAGGTGTTATTGTACATAGAGAAAACGCTCAGTAGGCCCCCACCACCACCACAGAATAACTATTTAGCAGCAGTTTCACCCGAAGCTTTCAAAATAAGCAATCCTGTGACCCAGCTTTAGGGTTGAGTGTTAATGGGATTGTTCCTTTTCAAATCAATTCCCTTAAGGGCTTCTATCCTTATGAGCACAAGATCACCCAGAATTAACCCCATCATCTCTGATATTCAGATTGTGGATTTCTACTGCATTTCTAATGATGCTATATACATAATATTCTTTTTCTAGATTCATTAAAGAACGATTCCTACATAAATACCTAAGTATACTATTTCACAACAAAAAGAGAAAAGTCTAAATAAACATAATGTTAATGTAACAGAAGCATACATAAAGCTGGTGGATGTTTTTGTCCAGAGCGGTTAAAGATGGAATTAGAGTTTTTGACATTAATAACGGAAGTAGACACCAAAACAAAATTACACTTTTAGCTAAATAACTCCAATAATTCCACTATTGTCTGCTCTACTCCCTCATGAGTCCCTTTTCACACCGGCCACATGGCGTAACGTCATCCCAAATTTTTGTTATCATTTCTTCCTGGTAGAAGCGTTCTACAGGAGGAGTCTCTTCCTGCACTTATTCCATAAGTTCACACACACAGCAGTCGGTAGCACCATGCCGCGTTACGCTATCGCCCGATGAGACAAACGTCGTCCCCTCACAGGGGACACATTATCCTCTAAGAGGCAGTATTTTCTGCGTGCCATGGCGAGTAGACAACTGAGCGTCCTTTGTGGCGCTCTCAGCTGTGAGGCCGTGTTTGTTGCCTGCAGCATCCTATTTAGTCATATGGTTATGGGACGCTTTCTCAAGCCTGGAGCAGGCCTTAGCAGCCCTGCAAAGGAATCTGGCTTTGCTTTCATGTTCCTTATGGAGCGATTCATTATGTCCTCCCACCCCAGGACAGAGCAGACGCTTTGTTTTAAAGAGTCCCCCAAAAAAAAATCGGTCCTTTTCTGAGGGCTTCTGAAACACGTCTTTCCTCGGCACACGTAGCAAGACAACGCGCGGCTCCTCATCGCGCAACACGGCCGCTCATTACTCATGCATTTCCAGAGTTGCCACGGCTTACACTGTCCGTGTTTGATGAATAACAGAGCCCACCGCCGGGTCCCGCCGGAGCATTAGCGGGCAGCTCCGCGGTAATCACTTCCTTCAGAAGGCCTCTCAGACGGAGCATTTAGAGAATGCGCGGGGTCCTGCACAGCGGCTTTTATCTTGGAGGGCCAGGTCCGCAGCTTTATCATCGTTATGTAATCCCAGACCGGCCAGTAGCCACTGCAAGGAGCAATTCCAGGGTGACCCATTTCAATGCATCACTGTCAGCTCAATTAGTGAGTTGTTCTAAGGGGTTTTTGTGGACGACCTGGGAGCGCTGGAGACGCACTACTGTAAGGTATCCATGATGTGTGTAGGGAAGTGACTGTGGCCGCTCCCCAGCGTGATGTTCATCGTCCTCCATGGATGTTATGCGCAAGCTGAACAGATTAGCACACCTATTGTTTTACAGAAGATTAGTTCATAACTTTGCCCCAAAATGTGACATATTTGACAGGTTATGTTGCTTTAGTTCGCCCTCTAACATATTTGGCAACAGAACTAATGGCACATAAAAAGAGAGCGCACAATATGTTCATTTATTTCATTTGTTTGTCAGTGTCACGGAAAAGGACAGATTTATGGCGCAACAATGTATAAACCAGCATGACGGACTCAGAAATAAATGTCTGCTCGTTATTTCCCTGCTTACCATCAGAAGGCCAGTTAGTAATGAGGCACAGCACTATTGATAGAGATGCATTGCGCGGGTGCAGCTGAAAATTTGTTCAAGCTTAAATAAAATGAGAATAAAAATAATTGATTGGAAATCAATCCACATATATCATTCACTCTTTTGTTAAAAGGAGAAATGGAAGGGAAGCGCGAAGAGGGGGAAAAGACAGCTCCTGGAAAATCAATATTCATTCCAATCATAAATCAGAATTGAGTCAGTGCTCGCGGGGAGGGGAGATAATCATTGGCCTGGTTTTGGATTACAAACTCCACGGGGCCGAGGTTTGTCCGGCCTGCGAATGTGTTTAGCTTCGTTACAAGCCCCCACTCGCTACACGTCTTGTCACCGCCCCGCCCACACACGCACAGACATAAACGTTGAGATCCCCTCATAGAAAAGCATCGAATGTATTATTGAAACATCGACCTTCTGTGCCGTTGTCTGGCCACGTCTGGAGACAGATCAACATGTGTGCACAATGAGTCGCGCCGTGTCAGCTCCATCAGAACGCCAAAGAGGAGCCCTCGGTCCTCCCACCAGCTCTTGACCTTGAGGATGAAGAGTTGGCTCTGTGTGTGTGTGTGTGTGTGTGTGTGTGTGTGTGTGTTTGGGCTGTGTGTGTCTGAGCGGACATGCACGGGACTCAGCAATCAGTCAGGACACTCTTGTGGTGTTTGGTGATGGAAGTTTGTGAATTGGTTTGTGTGCCTGCATCCTGAACACACCAATACATCAGCTTGCGGATATATTGGGGTGGAAATCAATATTGTCTACCTTTGGTATGATGGAGGTTTTCTTCCCTGATCACTTCTACACACACATGTACAAACACACACACACACACACACACACACACACACACACACACACACACAGTGAGAAACCAGCGATGAAATGCATCTTCTGTGGTTCAGGCGAGTCCAGCTATTTAACCTTAAATAGTATCATTACTTTGTGGTTGTTTATTAAATTATTGCAGGTCATGTTAGTTACAGATTATTCAACACTGACCTTTTTGAATGCATTCATCTAAACATGCGGAAGTTAGCTCAACCGCCACTTTTGAAACACATTCTTCTTTTTAAAAAAAGAGCATCACAATGCTTAGTTTTGCAGCTCTTGAAGCTGACTGACTTTGAATCACGTATTTCAACGTGATTCAAAGTCAGTCTTGACTTTTCAACCTCACGGTGTCAAACGGTGTCAAACATCTCAAAAACAATTTTGACAATGACAATGCTTTGTAATCACATTGGTTGTTCATCCCGTTAGCATGCTAATTGCATCATGCATGATAAAATAAGCGGGTGAACATGGTAAACACCCCTAACATTTGAAATATAAAAAAGTAAGAGATAAATAACAGTGTGACCCTCCCACTCTGGGGGTGTTTCCTGGTGGGAGGAGCTGAAACACTTACTTCTCTTACCAAATACTCTGATTGGGACCTCCAAGAAGAAAATAAAAGACAGCACTTATACGTATTTCTCTCTCTCAGCAGGGCCTGCTGCACCAGCCTCACCCTGACTCCAACCAATTGAACTGAAGGGAAAATACAACTGCATCTGGACAATGTTTGTGTGAGAGGCAAAGTGGAGTAGCAAACAATAAAACACTGCCACAACACTTCAGGTTCCTGGGGCTTCCTCGCTGAAATTGTCTCAGGAACAAAGAGCCATTAAATCATGAGAAGGCGACCAAAACATACTGAAAACCTCACTTTCATAGGATTTTAAACACGGAGGCTTTAAAACTGTCAATCAAAGCAAATTAGGGATTTGGAATGAAATTACCATGAAAGCCCTCTTTGTTCCGCTGTCAAATGTTTTCACAAAAAGTGTAAATTAGCAATGTCAGTCCATGAGGGGCATTCCAAATGCCCTGTAATGCAATGTAAGAGTGTGAAACCATGCGCGCTGGTGGTGTTTTGACAACAGCGAATTACCAGTGAGCATGCTGGATGTGTCATGTGGCCTCGAGGTTATCACTCAAGTGAATAGCAATAGAGTCAGTTTCCCTCAGCCACGGAGACAGTCTGGTTGCCCTTAGGAGTCTCTCTGTTCCATTGAAACAAATAGCCATTTTCTAGAACAACAAACAGTGAAGGGGGACCTCGTGTAGCCCCCTCCACACTGAGTTTCATTCAGTCCCTCCGAGCGCGCGTTCAGGAAAATAAGGAAACGTTCTGTGCCAGCGAAAGATTTCAAGTGGCGCTTTGTTTGAGCGCAGCAGTCACGCAGGGAGAGATTTCAGTGTATAGATCTTTCAAACAAAGTGCTGGAAAACTTGCAGGAGAGTTCAACGGTCATTGTTTTCACACAGGGTGGTGCATTCAAGGTCTGAAA